CCCGGAGGTCTCATCCGCTCCCGAAAAACGTGAAAAAACACGCGAAATTCGTGTAGGGACGCGTCTGGTGGCCTCGAAATGGGTTTGGGACGCCCCACGAGCGCTCCAAGACGTCCAAGTTTGCCCGAAGACGGGCCACGAGGCGTCCTCGACGGCAGAAGAGGTCCCCACGAGCTCCCCCGAGGGCCTCCGGGATGCGTTCCACAAGGGTCCCTAGACGCCAAAATTGGGCCATTCCCTTCGTGAAATGTACATTTTTTAGAAATTCAGCTTTGGATTTTTCCGATGCTCCCCGACGGCCCAAGAGGCTCCCAAACCCGCTCCCAGACGGCCCCAGAAGCCTCGCAGAGGGCCCCCCACAGACCCCTAGAGGGCCCAAGATGGGCCAACAGGCGTCCAAGACGGCCCAAGAGGGCTCCGAAAACGGCCCCAAGAGCGTTCCAGGAGCGTTCCGAGCTGCTTCCCCGAAGCTCCACATGGTCCCAGACGGTCCAAGAGCGATCAGAAACATCGACGCCGACCTCCCGACGGCTCACGAGGCCTCCCCAGACGCCCCCACAGGCATCCAAGATTCCCCCCAAGAGGCCCTCTAGACGCAAAAAATCGCTCGTTTCCTTTGTAAAGCGTATTTTTTTCCACGCGTGCGCCTTTGGGGGTGACCCCCGCTCCTGCACGGCCCCAGAGCCCCCCAAACCCGCTCCCAGACGGTCCAAGACGCCTCCAAGAGGGTCCGTACATAGCCCTCGAGGGCCCCAACACGTTCATCGGCGTGTCAGATGTTCCCCCTCCCCAAACACCTCCCCCGGGAGCCCGGTCCGGTCCATTTGGAGGGGGGGGGGGGTCCGGTCGAACGGCCCCGGACAGCCCGGAATCCCCCGGAGGTCTCATCCGCTCCCGAAAAACGTTGAAAAACACGCGAAATTCGTGTAGGGACGCGTCTGGTAGCCTACGGCCCCGGACGGCCCGGAACCCCCCGGAGGTCTCATCCGCTCCCGAAAAACGTGGAAAAACACGTGGAATTCGTGTAGGGACGCGTCTGGTGGCCTCGAAATGGGTTTGGGACGCCCCACGAGCGCTCCAAGACGTCCAAGTTTGCCCGAAGACGGGCCACGAGGCGTCCTCGACGGCAGAAGAGGTCCCCAAGAGCTCCCCCGAGGGCCTCCGAGATGCGTTCCACAAGGGTCCCTAGACGCCAAAATTGGGCCATTCCCTTCGTGAAATGTACATTTTTTAGAAATTCAGCTTTGGATCTTTCCGATGCTCCCCGACGGCCCAAGAGGCTCCCAAACCCGCTCCCAGACGGCCCCAGAAGCCTCGCAGAGGGTCCCCCACAGACCCCTAGAGGGCCCAAGATGGGCCAACAGGCGTCCAAGACGGCCCAAAAGGGCTCCGAAAACGGCCCCAAAAGCGTTCCAGGAGCGCTCCGAGTTGCTTCCCCGAAGCTCCACATGGTCCCAGACGGTCCAAGAGCGATCATAAACATCGACGACGACCTCCCGACGGCTCACGAGGCCTCCCCAGACGCCCCCACAGGCATCCAAGATTCCCCCCAAGAGGCCCTCTAGACGCAACAAATCGCTCGTTTCCTTTGTAAAACGTATATTTTTCACACGTGCGCCTTTGGGGGTGACCCCCGCTCCTGCACGGCCCCAGAGCCCCCCAAACCCGCCCCCAGACGGTCCAAGACGCCTCCAAGAGGGTCCGTACATTGCCCTCGAGGGCCCCAAGACGTTCATCGGCGTGTGAGATGTTCCCCCTCCCCAAACTCTTCCCCCAGGAGAAGGCAGAGGAGGAGAGGCAGGAAGAGGAGCAGGAGGGAGGAGCAGGGGGAGGAGGAGAGGAGGAGAGGGAGCCGATCATCGTAATCAGTGTCGTGATCATCAACGACGTCATTGCCATCGACAAGGTCAGCCCAAACATCCCCGAACATTAACAGTTAGCGGGACATCCCGCTTGGAAACCGCCGACAACCGTAAGATGTCTCCGGGGTGTAACATACTTCCCTGGCTCCGGCACCCGTGCAAGGCTCCAAACACAACCCAAAAAACCTCCCTGTGCCGTCTTGGGGTTCGCTTGGGCCGTCTGGAAGCCCTCTGGGCCAGTTTGCGACCCATGTCGGCTCCCCTTCTCGCTGTGACGGGCCCTGAACAGCCTCATTTTCCCACGGTTTGCAAGGAAGCTGTGGTGAAAGATCCCGAGGAAAATCCAAGGGGTCGGCGGATGTGGCGGAAGCCTGAAGAATCATCATCCTCATCAGCATCAGCAGCATCAGATCATCAGCAGCAGCATCGTCAGCATCATCCTCGCAAGATACATCATCAACACCATCAGTTTCATCATCATAATCATCAACAGCAGCATCATCAACAACAACGTCATCACCAGCAGCAGCACCACCACCGTCCTCATTGTCATCATCAGCATCATCATTATCATCAGCATCATCAGCAGAACACAAACAGCAAAACAAAAAGCACACCAGCAAGGCAAGAAACACAAAAAAAAAAAACAACAACGTCATCACCAGCAGCAGCACCACCACCGTCCTCATTGTCATCATCAGCATCATCATTATCAGCAGCATCATCAGCATCATCATCACCCAACGGTACGCGCCGTCCCTGAAATAGGCCTCGAGCCAGCCCATTTGCGATGTTCAAGCTGAAGCCTCCAGGGCTCCGAGGCTTCAACTTGAGCCGAGACTGCCAGGGGCCTCCTTTCTCCCCACCTCCTCCGCCCCCCTCTTCCCTTCTCCCTCCCTGGCTCCTCCCCCTTCTCCTCCTACCTCTCTTCCTCCCCCTCCTCCTCCTCCTCCTCCTCCTTCCTCCCTCTTCCTCCTCCTCGTCCTCCCTCCTCGCTCCTCCTCCTCCTCCTCCTCCTCCCCCTCCTCCCCCTCCTCCTCCTCGTCCTCCCCCCTCCTCCTCCTCCTCCTCCTCCTTCTCCTCCTCCTCCTCTTCCCCCTCCTCCCTCCTCCCTCCTCCCTCCTCCCTCCCTCCTCCCTCCTCCCTCCCTCCTCCGTCCTCCCTCCTCTCTCCTCCCTCCCTCCTCGTTGTCCTTCCCCCGCCCCCATCGCGGCCCTCGGTCGGGACGCGCCGCCGCGAAGCGCTCCGAAGGACCCCGGCGGAACAGAGCTCCCCCCCCCTTCCGAGCAGAGGTCGACCGACGCGTGCCTGCCCTCGCAGCAGGACTGTAGCAGCTCCGGGGTGTGGCAGAGGTCGCACTGCTCCCCGGAGCAGCCCTGGCACGCCGCGTCCAGGCAGCAGCCCACGCCCGCGGAGTCGTAGCAGATCTGGCACTGCTCGCCGCCTCGGCGTGCGAGGCGGGCACCGGAGGCGGACGCCCCGCGGGGTCGCCGAGCGGGGCGCCTCTCTCGCAGGGTCGAGGCCTCGTGGGCGCCGCCGCTCGAAGACGCTCCATGCGCGGGCGGCGCGAAGCGACAGCGCGGAAGCTCGGAGCAGCAGGGGGGCGCATCCGACTGCCTGCCAGACCACCCCAACCCAACCCGAAGACCCGAATTTCGGGTTATGGGGGGGTAGGGGTTCCAGATGTGTTTTCTCAAAAAATGTTCCCCGACCTCCCCCCGCTGGAAATGGAGAGCAAATTGAAGCCTTCGGGTTGGGTTGGGGTGGTTCGGTGGGTGGTGAGCATCGGAGGTCGCCGAAGAAGAAAAAACGCCATAAACGTAAGCTTTGGGCGCTCCGCGCGGATTTCTGGAATCCGCGCTGGGCCACCCCTGGGCGGCGCCTCCCGCGCGGAGGTAAGAAATCCGCGTGGAGCGCCAAAAGTTATTGTTTACGGCGTTGTTTATTTTTCCACGCAGGGGGGCGCATCGGAGGTCGGAAAGGACGAGGCCTACGAGACGGAGCGCCGACCCACCGAGAGATATCGACTTCGGTGTCGGCTCGGGCCTGGGGCGCGGGCGAGGCGAGGCGTTGCGGGGTGCGAGAGAGAGCCACCGAGGCGATGCGCTGGCGGCTGCCCCGCGGTCGTCCTGGTGGTTGTCCTGCGGTTGTCCCGTGGCTATCCGCCCACAGGCTTGGCGCCAGTGCCCAGCGCGGTGCTCCCACGGCTGCCCCGTGGCCGTCCCCTGGCTGTGCCCTGCGGTTGGTCCACGGCTGTCACGTTGTCTGGCAGACGGTGCTCAGCTGGGCAGGTGGTTGGAAGGGTGGAATGTGTTCGAAGAGTAAGAGGTGTTACACTCGTGAGACCAATGAGGATACTTACAACGCTGACGATATCTTAGGTTAGAAAGCGAGGGGTTAGAGCAGTTGGAAGATGTGAGAGAGTTCCGCCGGCAATAGCGAGACGGGTTGGAACAGTTGTAAGATATAGAAGAATCAGAAGGACTAGGATGGTTAGAATAACTGCGAAGTCAGGAAAGGTATGATACAATGTAGGTTGCATTAAATAGACGACTGAGTCCAGGTAGAGGAGTTACACGGGCTGCTATCACGTAGAACGAGCATGATACCAGAGAACAACCCAACCATAATCTTGTTAGGGCTATAGGGGTATAGGGTTATCTGGCTACAGGGCTATAGGGCGATGGGGCTATGGGGCTACAAGGTTATAGGGCTATAGGGCTATAGGGTTATACGGCAATAGAGCTCTAGGGCTACGGGGTTATACGGCTATAAGGCTACAGGGGTTATAGGGCTATGGGGCTATAGGGCCATTAGGGCTATATTGCTATAGGACAATTAGAGCTGTAGGGCTATAGGGATACAGGGCTATAGGGTTATAGGGCTATAGGGCTATAGGGCTATGGAACTATAGGGCTATAGGACTATAAAGCTATAGGGATACAGGGTTATGGGGTTATAGGGCTATAGGGATGTAGGGCTGTAGGGCTACCAGGGCTATAGGGCTTTAAGGCTATAGGGCTATAGGGCTATAGGGCTATAGGGCCATAGAGATATAGGGCGATAGGGCTACTAGGTTATAAGGGTATAGGGCTATCGGACTATAGGGCTATTGGGCTATAAGGCAATTTGGACTATAGGGCTACAAGACTATTAGGGCTATAGGGCTATAGGGCTATAGGACTATTAGTGCTATAGGGCTACCGTGCTATAAGGCTATAGGGCTATAGGGTTATAGGGCTATAGGGCTATAGGGCTATAGGGTTATAGCGCTATAGGGCTATAGGGCTACAGGGCTATAGGGCTATAGAGCTATAGGGCTATGGGTCTATAGGGCTATAGGGCTATTGGGATCTTGGGCTATACGGCAATTGGGCTATAAGGCTGTAGGGCTATAGAACTATAGGGCTACCATGCACCCGGATACCCGGGCACCCGGGCACCCGGGCACCTGGGCACCCCAGGGCACCTCCGGGCAGCCCCGGGCACCTCCGGGCGCCCCCCGGCACCTCCAGGCACTCCCGGGCCCCGGGGCGCCCGGGCACCAGCTGGTGCCCGGGCCGGCCACCGAAATCGGCGACGTAGGTCACCTACACATATGAATCCGCTTGGACCCCTACAGAGGCAAACTTTGATTGGGGAACAAAGAACGTTACCAGAATAAGAACACTTAGAGTCCAGTATCCCCAAACAGCGTTTTTGAGCCAAATGTTCACGCGTCCTCCTGTTCCTGATCAGCCTGAGCCTTCGGCGTCGCTGTGGACCTTTTCGTCATCGTTGTCATCCTCCTCTTAATCCTTCGCATCCACGTCATTCTCGTCCTCGCCCTCGCCCTCCCCCTTCCACTACACCTCCTCCTCCTCCTCCTCCTCCTCCTCCTCCTCCTCCTCCTCATCCTCATCCTCCCCCTCATCCTCTTCCAACTCCTCCTCTTCTCCCTCCTCCTCCTCCTCCTCATCCTCCTCATCAGCATCTTCTTCATCATCATCATCAGCAGCAGCATCAGCATCATCATCATCATCATCATCATCATCATCATCATCATCATCATCATCATCATCATCATCATCATCATCATCACAATCAATCATATCATCACACAGCAGCAGCAGCATCATCAGCAATCAAGCATCAGCATCAGCATCAGCTTCATCAGCATCAGCATCAGCATCACATCAGCATCATCACCACCACCACCATCATCATCACATCATCAGCATCATCATCATCATCCTCATCATCATCATCACATCATCACACATCATCAGCAGCGCAGCAGCACAGCATCATCATCAGCAACAGCAATCATCATCAGCAAGTCAGCATCAGCACATCATCATCATCATCATCATCATCATCATCATCATCATCATCATCATCGCCGCCATTATCATCATCATCATCATCATCATCAGCAGCATCATCACCACCATTACCATCATCATAATCGCCATCATAATCAGAATCGTCATCATAATCAGTATCAGCCTCATCATCATCATCAGCATCATCATTATCAGCATCATCATCATCATCCTCATCCTCCTCCTCATCATCATCATCATCATCATCATCATCATCATCATCATCATCATCATCATCATCCCCCTCAGCCTCATCGTCATCCTCATCCTCAGACCTCCTCTTCTCCACTTCCTCCGCCATGCCAGGGATGCCTCCGCACTCTCGATGCCGCTTCCCCCTCACATGGGGTGCCCTCTTAACGTGCAGCCTGGGCCTGGCCCCGTCTCCCTCCTCCATGATTCCCTTATTCCCCTCCCTTTTCTTCAGGGATGAAAAAAACGACCCTACCCTGGGTTACAAGTGCGTGGTGTGTACCTCCTGGGAACCCCTCAAGCCTAGAGGACGCCAGGACGCCGCACGTCACGCAGGGTTTACCCTGTCAGCCCACAGGAGTTTCCGCGCACAGCGCCTCGTAAACCAGGGTAGGGGCATGTTTAAAAGCCCTTGATTTCCCCTCCCCCCATCCTGCCTCCTCTCTGCCCGCCGCGCTCGCGCTCGAGGCATCTGCCTCCACGATCTGCTCAAGCATGGCTCCCGCCGAGCCGCCCCTGCCAATCTACCGAGGAACCGTGCTCGCGCCTCCTCGCCCGCTGCCGCCCTCCGTCGGGGAGCGCCCACACCCCTCCCAGAGCACGACTCGACAACAGAAGTGGAACCAAATGGTTCGTTTGTGTCTTTTGGCTTTTTCTTTGTTGTGTCTGACCCCTCCTCCCTGCTCCCTCCTCCCTCACGGAGCCCAGAGGCTCGAGGATGTCTCCAGAGAAACGCTCGGGGCCACCGCGCGCGCGGCATCTCGGAGCCGCGAACTGTGAGGACATCTCGAGCGAAACGGGCCAGACCACCTCGCGCGCAGTCTCTCAAAGCGCCGAATTGCGAGGATATCTCAGGCGAAACGAGCTGGACCATCTCGCGCACGTCGTCAAGGAACCAAAAACTGTGAGGAATACTCATGCGAAATGCGTTGGACTACCTTGCTTTAAATTTTCTCAGAGCCTAGACTTGCAAGAGTGTCTCAGGCGAAACGGACTGGACCACCTCGGGCGCGGCATCTCGGAGCCGAGACTTGAAAAGATGTCTCAAGCGAAACGCGCAGGACCACCACGCGCGCGACATCTGGGAGCCGAGACCTGCAAGGATGTCTCAAGCGAGATGAGCCGGACATCTGGGAGCTCAGAGTTGCGAGGATGTTTCAAGCGGCGCCAAGACCCCTCCCAGAGCACAATTTAACAACAGGAGTGGAATCAACTGGTTCGCTTGGGTCTGACCCGTCCTCCCTGCTCCTTCCTCCCTCTCAGATCTCAAAGGTTCGAGAATGTCTAAAAAGCGAGACGCTTCGGACCACCTTGCGCGCGGCATCTCGGAAACCCAAATTACGAGGATGTCTTAAGTGAGATGGGCCAGACCACCTCGCGCACATTTTCTCAGAGCGCAGCATTGCGAGGATACCTCAGGCGAAACGGGCTGGACCACATCGCGCGCAGCATCTCGAAGCCCAGAGATGCGAGGATGTCTGAAGCAACACGGACCAGACCACCTCGCGCACATTTTCTCAGAGCCCAGAGTTGCAAGAATGTCCCAGGCGAAAAAAGCCCGGCCCACCTCGGGCGCGGCATCTCGGAGCCGAGACTTGAAAAGATGTCTCAAGCGAAACGCGCAGGACCACCACGCGCGCGACATCTGGGAGCCGAGACTTGCAAGGATGTCTCAAGCCAGATGAGCCGGACCACCTCGCGCGCAGCATCTCGGAGCACAGAGTTGCGACGATGTCTTAGGCGAAATAGGCCAGACAACGTCGCGCGCACCCTCTCGGAGCTCCGAATTACGAGGACGTCTCAAGCGAAGCGGGCCAGACAGGCTTGCGCACACCTTTCCCAGACCCCAGAGTTACGAAGGCGTCTCAGGCGAAGCGGGCCAGACCACCTCGCATACATCTTCGCTAAGCCCATAGATGCGAAGATGCCTGGCGCGAAATTGGCCGGAACACCTCTCGCGCGACATCTGAGAGCCCGAAAGTGCGAGGATGCCTTAGGCGAAACAAGATGGACCACAACGCGCGCAGCATCTCGGAGCCCAGAGTTGCGAAGACGCATCTAGCGAAACGCGCAAACTACCGTGAGCGCGGCGTCTTGGAGCCCGGAGTTGCGAGATTGTCTCAGGCAAAATGGGCTGGACCACCTCGGGCGAGGCATCTCGGAGCCAAGCCTTGCAAGGATGCCTGAGGCGAAACACGCGGGACTACCTACCTCGTGCACATCGGCGCCCAGAGGTGAGAGGATGTCCCACGCGAAACGGGCTGGACCACCTCGCGCGCGGCATCTCGGAGATCAGAGTTGCAAGGATGGCGAGACGCGCTTGGCCACCTCTCGCGCGGCATCTCGGAGCCCCGAGTTGTGCGGATGCCTCGAGAGAAACCAGCTGGACCACCTCTCGCGCAGCATCTCGAAGCCCAGAAATGCGAGGATGTCTCAAGCGAAACGGGCCAGCGACCTCTCGCGCGACATCTGAAAGCCCGAAAGTGCGAGGATGTCTCCGGCGAAACGGGCTGGACCACCTCGCTCGCGGCATCTCGGAGCTCAGCATTGCGAGTATGTCTCTGGCGAAACGCTTCGGACCACCTCGCGCGCGGCATCTGGGAGCCAGACGCTGTGAGAATGTCACAGGCGAGACGTCCAAGCCCTGCCAGCCTCAAAGCTTGGGTTGTGAGGATGCCTCCGGCAACACGGCCCGGACCACCAAAGTTTCTTGAGGATGACTCTGCACGCCCTGCCTTCGACTGGAGCTAGCTTCTACCACAACCGCACCCCGTTCAGCGAGCCATTCGGGGAAATAGCATGCTTCAACGCTTAACCAAAATAGGGGACCGAATGGTTGCGCGCGTAGCATTGCAAGAGTAAACGCCTTAAATGAATTGGAAGATATAGCTGGGAGAGACAGAGTGAGAGAGAAAGATAAATAACAAAGAGATTGCTGAATACTCTATCAACGAAACAATCCGAGTAACAGGCACATACATAATATCATAACAGCTAGATTCGTTTACAGAAGAGTGAAACACAAAGAAGAGTGAGAATGATCGGGAGAGCTTGGATCGGCCGCAGAGTTAAACGAGCTCGAACAATTCAAAGAGGTCTGGTGGGTTTAAAGAGTTCGAGTGTAGAAAATAAGGCACACCGCAACTATCCGACGCCAAGCCAATCGCAAACCGCAGCTGGTCTCATGGGTCAAGCATGGACAGACGCTCACAACAGATAGGAGCCTCAAATACAATACGCAATCCCGACACCGGACTCTTCTTGTGAACTGCTGCCAGGCCACGCAATATCACTGAATAAACTGAAGTAGAGAAACCCACAGAGATCGTAGCCTAGATAAATCATCAAAGTAAGATCCTCACGCTGCCTGCCCGTTTCCACAAGTCGCAGTGGGTGAAGCCACTAAGCCCCTGACTGCAGCCGTTGCAAGAGGACGTGTCGCAATCATCGGCTGGCGAACTAGACGTGACTGGTGGTGAGATCGAGGTCGACTCAGTCGCGGAATCCACACTGCTTGTAGGATCGGGTGGTGAGGTAGATCCAGTCGTGACATCCACGCTGCTTGTAGGACTCGGCGGTGAACTGCAGAATCTATTTGAAGCATCTCTCTCAGGTGAGGCCTGGAAAAAGCTGTATGTTGCCCTGGTGTCCACATTACTCTGCCACTCAAAAGGTCTGCACATAGACAGAAGCGAAAAACACACAATCCCTCCAAAACTTACCGCTGCGCCCGCAACTCACGGTTGTCCTGATCATCCACCGCCTCCGCCCTGCTGCTCCTTCTCTTTCTGCTCGTCCTCTCCCTCCTGCTCGCCCTCCTCCAACTCCAGATCCTTCTGCTGCTGCTCCAGCTCCTCCTCGTCCTCCCCATTATACTGCTGCGTCTTCTCCTACTCATCCGTATCATTATCCTCATCCTCGTCATCACTATCCCCATCATCAACCGCATGAGCATCATCACCATCAACAACAATCATTTAAAGATTGTTCACTCGTACTGGCACGCGTGTCGTGCATTCCGTATACCCCAACCCTCGATACTCGCCCACTTCGTCTTCGATTGTAACCCGTTTTGGGGGGAATCTCTTCCTTGCCGTCCACTGACTGAAGTGCAAGAAATTTCGAGCGAGAGCGCAGTTCCTGAATTCGGGGGCCTCTCTGACCAGGGGCTCTCGGAATACCTACGGAGAAATATCGAACGGGAACCCTTGTCGCCGTGTCTGGGTCTCCACCAACTTGCTTGCATTACGAGAAAGTCTCGAGCGAGAGCGCCGTTCCTGACTTCGGGGGCCTTCTTGGCCAGGGCTCTCGGAGTAAATCGTGAGGAATTATCGAGCAGAAGCCGTTGTCGTCGTGGCTGGGCCTCCGCCAACTTGATTGAATAGCGAGTAAGTCTCGAGCGAGAGCGCCGTCCCTGAATTCGGGGGCCTCTCTGGCCAAGGTCTCGGGGTAAATTGTGAGGAAGTATCGAGCGGGAGCCGTTATTGTAGTAGCTGGGCCTCCAAGGGCCCACATTTAGGCTCAAGCCAACGCTCGAGCGGGAGTCTCGTTCTCAAGAAACATGTAGCCGGCGTCGAGGCGAGAGCGCGCGGAACCGTTTCTGGAAAGCAACACTACTTATTCTCTACAAACGAATATTCAACAACAATAGCAGCAGCAACAACAGCAGCAGCAGTACAACCTCAAGAACATCGATATCAATATCAACAACAACAATAATAATAACAACAACAACAACAACAACAACAACAGCATCACCATCAACATCAATAGCAAAAACCAACACCAACGCATCAGCATCGCAAACACAACGGACACGGCCACCATGATGCCCCTGCCCGCCTCAATACGAGTACCCATGCTGCTCTCCCTGCTGCTCCTGCTCCCGGCCGCGCTGCGCCCCTGCTCGTGGCAGGGCGCCTCGTGGCGGGGTCGTCGCACGCAACCTGCTTGTTGGTGCAGCACCACACCTCCCAGCCGGGCGGCAGAGCGCGCGCAGGCCCTCTCTTGGCTGGCGGGGCGCGCGCGGCGACCGGGGCCGGGCGCGCGCGGGCGCGGGAGAGAAGGAAGAGCGCCCAGCACCGATGCTGCGGGGGCCTCTCGCCGACCCCTCGGCGGCGCACCGTCGACTCCACGTCGGTGCGTCACCCCCTGAGCCAGCTCCCACCCCCCCCCCCTCTTGGCTCCCGAGGAGCGAAGGCAGACATCAACATAAGCTTGCGGCGCACCGAGCACATGTCTTGGATCAGCGGGGGGCCTCCTGGCGCGTTGCGTGCGCCAGGGAGGGGGCGCAGGGCCGATCCACGAAATCCGAGCGGACCTCCGACAGCTTCTGTGGATGCAGCTCGTTAGAATTGACGGCGGGCTGCGCGAGCAGGCCGCAAGCCAAAGAGAAGGCGTTCCCCTCTGGTTTCTGTTTTGTATCATGTCAGTCTTCTTGTTCCCTACCTAAGCTCTGCCTAGAAGGATTCTTACTCTCTTGGCTTAAAGGGCCAGGCAGTGGGGACCGGCCCGGGTGGTTCCCCCAGTATCCACCCCCCGGTTCCCCCAGCTACGTCGCCTTAGCTTAGCGTTGCCTATCTCAGCTTAGCTTAGTTTATGTCATACTAGCTTAGCTTAGCTTCATCTTAGCTCCGGTTTATCTTAGCTTAGCTCACCTTCATCTTAGCTTCGCTGAGCTTTAGCATAGCAGAGCACAGCATAGCATAGCATAGCGTAGCATAGCATACCGCTGCATCGCATATCATAGCATAACCCAGTATAGCATATCATAGCATAGATTAGCATAGCACATCGCAGCATGACATAGCATAGTTTAGCATATCATAGCATCGCATAGCGCAGTGTAGCATAGCATAGCATAGCATAGCATAGCGCAGCATAGCATGGCATGGCATGGCATAGCATAGCATAGCAACTAATGCTGCTTTCCTAGGGGCTCCAACTTCTAGGTAGGGTCGCATTGGGGTAATTGCTCTTCTTACATGTACGATCGGCATGATAATTCTGCCCCTCCTCCCACTCCTCCCCGCTCGCCCCCTCTGCCGACTTCTCCGGTTCCCCCCCTCTCGCTCCGTCCTCCTCCCCGTCCCCCCCCCTTCCTCTTCCTCCCCTCCCCCTCCTGGTTTCTTGATGCTCTCCGGCGCGAGCGCCGCTCCTGGCCATCGTCAGGCAGCGAGCGACCGATGACCGAGGCGCGCAGCGGAACGCCAGCTGCATTACGTCGGCGGGCGAGGGTCAGCTTGAGCGGGCGTGTCCTCCTCCTATAGGAGGATATTGGGCTATCTGTAACTAGTGTAAGATTGGTTATTAAACTATGGCTTGCTATGTTTGCTAGTTGCTTGACATGTTTTACTATGTTTTACTTGATTTACCATCGTCGTATTTTTGAACACTCCTCCTGTTGAGGGACACGCCCGACTTAAGGTCAGCCCGCCCGCCATCCGAGGCGGTGCGGAAGGCGGGCGGCGCCTTCCCCCCCCATCTCGCGCGCAGCACACCGCAGAGGGCGACGCCCTCTCTGGAGAGACTGGTTTGGCCTGGAGCGGGTCGCGCAGAAACATCCCAGAGATCCGGTGTCGCGGTTTGTTCAATACTGGGTCCTTGGAAGTCTCGACCACTCCCCAGGACCAATTTTTCACCCCTTTAGTCGTTTCCTGACGGCCCCGAAGCCCAGCAAAGGCCCCTAGAGACCGAGGGATACGAAAAACCTCCGTTTGGATGTTTGCCAATACGGTAATACTATATGTCCTCCTTAGAGGCGCGCGTCCGGCCCGAACACTAAATACGCATACCCATCTTACAGCAGATCGCTTCCCGAGCGGCGTGGCCAGGGAACGCCCGCCACGACGCACACACACTAGAAGATGTCTCGGTGCGCGCGGCGCCCCTGGGGGGGCGACGCACACTTGCTCGTAAGCGGCGAAGCGGTGAAATCCGCACCAGCGTAACAGCTAGGTACTCCAAATCCCTTATTAATCGCCCCCGTCCCCCGGGTCCGGTTTTTTTTGGCGCCGTTTTTGTAACTGGAGGGGTCCGGTTTATCATGGCATTTTCTTTGGGTTGGAGCTTGGGGGGGTCTTGTTTACCAAGGCGCCCCGTCGAGGAGGGGGGTCTGGAATATCAGGTCGCACTTGGAGGGGGAATGGGTTGTTTAATTTTGGGGGGGGTCGAATCAGAAGGGATTTGGAGCAGGGGCACGAGCCATGGAATGTGCCGGCGTGCAAGAGAGCGGGGGGAGGCCGACGAGAGGATTTGGACGCCCGACATGGGTACCGAAAAAATGGGTACGATGCCCAACAACAAATGCTGTCCCAAACCAACAGCGGCCGCTGTTGGGCAGGCGGCCTCCTGTCTCGAATGGACACAGGCCGCGGCGGCGTGGACAGCGAGGCCTGTTCCAAATGAACAGGAACTGCTGTTGGGCATCGTACCCATTCTTTCCGTACCCATTTCGGGCGTCCAGAGAGGAGGGGGGAGGCCGCACGGACGCCGAAGGCTTCCACAGGGGCGAGGCACGCACGGTGTTTTTAGCATGCTCGTGGGCGGCGCCGGCGGAGTGGGCGTAAAGGGCGTCGCGCTCTCGCGCGCCCCACGAGCCCACAGAGCTTCTTCTCTGGAGCTCTCGGAGGTTCCCAGGCGCTTGGACAACATAAACGGCGATCCTCCTCCTCCTCCTCCTCCTCCTCTTCCTCCTCCTCCTCCTCCTCCTCCTCCGCCTCCGCCTCCCCTCCTCCTCCTCCTCCCTGCTCCTCCTCCTCCTCCTCCTCCTCCTCCTCCTCCGTTCGTGCGTCGGCGGCGAGGCAGGGGTCGTGTGCGCTAGCGGAAAGGCCCAAACGGAGGCGCCGCTGGAGCGGATTGTGCCCCCATGCGGGAGGGGGAGGAGGCGGAGGACGCGGACGAAAGCGGGGGCGGAGGGAGCGAGCCGCTCAGGGGGACGGGTCACGCCCCGAGCGCGCGGCGCGGCCAGCCCAGCCGGCGGGCCCGCGGCGGCTGCTGCACGATTCGGAAAAAAACAGGCGCACTCTCGAGGCCGCGATCCCTCGCAAAAGACGTGTGCAGGATGCTCCCGAAGCCGCGCTCCCTGACAAGCAAAAATACGATCCGCGCTCCTGGGGCTGCGATCTCAGGAGACCAAGAAAAATATAGGAGCACCGCCCTCGAGGCCACGAGCCTTTGCAGAGGCAAAAGGACGTGCGTCGCCGAGAGCGCAATCCCTCGTGAAAGACGCCACCAGGAGGGCCTCGGAGAGCCTTGCCAGCCTGGAGCCCATGATTGGCACCACCTGATCCCGATGCGGATCTTCCGGACTCCCTCAGTTTCTGCGGGCGCACCCCTAAGATTGTCATCACCTTTGGGCCTGTCAATCTCAGGGACAGGGGTGAATAAGATCAAGGTTGGCCAGAGCCCAAGATTCGGTCGGAATCTTCGAGGGCGCCTTGGAGATGTCGCGAGCGCGCCGCAGCGCCTCGGGAGCGCCTGGGAGTGCCTGGGAGCCCCCCAGAGAGCCTGAGAGCCCCCTCGCCATCGCTCGGACGTCCATTCCCCGTGCACTTGTCGGATTCGTGCGTGTGTGTTTTTCG